GTAGAGACAGGAGATCCTATGCCAGGGGCAGTGACAGTCACTGTGGAGTTGGCAACATTACCTCCACCTGGTGATGAACAAATCAGCATACCGGTATGGCTCCCTGAAAGACCCATACCAAGGCTGAGGCCACCACTGCTACCGCCATGGACGCCTGTCATACTGCTAGAGCCTGAGCCGATACCGGCTGTTGAAACAGAGGCAGCGGTGACGCCGCAGGTGGGAGTGAGTATCGAGCAACCACCACAACCAGGCCCAACAAGCCCAGTGGAAGTGGTCACAAAGGTTGGCATCTGCACATAGAAGGCCTGAAATGAATAACAGTATGCAAAAAGTATGGGAAAGCTAAAACAACGTATATTCCTAATAAAAAATAAAAATAAATTTTTATTTGTGCAAATAAAATAGCCTTTATAAAACAAAAGGTGAGGGAAAGTGCATAATTAATGAGAGAATAAGATGAAAGTGAGATAGCTCACCAAGAATTTCTTTTAACTGTCTTGAAATAAATCATGCGGAAGATTGAGCTCAATAATATCCGTATTATGGACATTTCCTCTGTAATAGAAAGTTCAACAGAGAAAGTATCGAAGTGGTTTGGCCTCAATATCAAAACTTAGTCGTATTATCATAGAAAACTATATGAACATACCTTGTACGGAGTCCTGAGCCATACTAGCCATGATAATTTCCAGTCGACCCTAAACTTGGTACATTCCAAAGCTGGTTCGACTATGGAAATTAACATGGATATTATGGCAGCGGACTCCAGACGACCAGATAATACGACCAAGTTGTGAAGACGAGGTCAAACTGCTTGCATACAAAGAAGGTTGCGGCCATAATAAAGGCTACGCCATCTTGATCTTCACACATTCGATTAAAGAGAGCATTGTATATAATTATAATAGGACTTAAAACAAAGTTATTGAAAACAGGATGCTATGATTCTAGTAAAGATCTAGCAACCGTAATTTTGAATGTGGCGGACTTACTAGAAAAATGTGTACCTAAATGCACTCACCCACCCACCCACAACCAACCACGTGAGTAGACGAATTACGTTCAGTTTAATTAAAGTACTATGATAGTTAAACTAACTAACGGATGATATTAATGTGCGGTAAGAGACTTAACCTTGAGTAAAAGAAAGTTTAACCTTCCTCTAGAAAAGTCAAAAATCAAAATAGCCTTTCGCGACCAACATACATATTCTCTACTAATTCAAAATAATCTCTAACCAAATGAGCAATATAAAGAATAGGCGATTGCAAAGAAATAAGTAAGCTGAGGAAATTTAGCCTGAGTCAAAAATTAATATAAGCGTCTTGCATATAAAGCGAGGAGTTAGCATCCAATAATCAAAGTTTGCATTATTGGAATGATAAAGGTATGTTTGGATTTACGAATTCGTTCAAACTCCATTTAATGTGAGACATGGCATTTGGACTGAGAGGTTTTAGTTATTATGACTTTCCACACTTAAAACCAAATAAATGTAAATCTTTATATATTAGAGTGGAAAGCAGTGCCATACAATTTTTACAGGAATGCTAGTCCCTAAATAACGATCTGGAATCCAGGTTGATTGCGGGGATAAAGCTAGCTTTGCTATCCAAGAAGCATTCGTTTCCTTTTAAATGAGATGTATTCCACCTTTCATAGTCTCAATTTATTTACAATTCTGGATGATTTTTTTAGGGTGGAAAATCTTAGACAAGAATTATTTGGGAAAAATCAATCAGCTCTTAAGTGTATCCTTCACGCATACCTTCAGAAAAATATTCTAATCTCGTTTCCTCGTATAACGTAAGTTGGCTATTGACCTCTTAATAAGGTGGCAATTAAGCAAATCATCTTACTGAAAAGCCATATAAAAAACCTAAAGTTAAATTAGGCAAATTTGTTGATATTCGTGGATGATAATCGCGTTAAGATGGTGAGAATTTAGGTATTGAACGATGGTTAAACTAGGGCGCCGATGCTACTGAAGAAAAAATATCTTCATTGTAGCGGAAGCATAAGTCCATACTATGATTAAGCCTCATTATGTAGATTTTATCATTTGAGGTGACTACAATAAAATTGTGTCACTTTATCATTACAGGAAATGGCAAGCCATGATCCCCTAAACAGTAAAGTTCTACTACTTAATCAGACAATACGAACACCAATAAGTCAGAGGGAGAGGAAAAATTATTTAGATAAAGAGGTCTATCTTGTTTTCTCACTTCAGTCTAGATGAATGCATCACGTCCAGAGTTTTCTCTCACAGTATAAGTGATAATTTATAGCCTCGGACTGTGAACTTGGTAAATTCCCCACATGCTCGAAATTATCGTGGATACTTTGTCAGAGGAATCTGAACAAGATGCCTTCCTCTAGATCTGGCAATACGACCAAGTTGAGAAAACGAGAACAAAACGAGCTTTATACAAAGAAAAGATACTGCGAGCATAGTAAGGTGTATACCATCTTGGTCCACATAGCTTCGATTGAAAATTAGTTAAATATTGTAATTTGCCAAAACGACAAGTGCCATTAAACTAAAGGAAATATAAGATGGTATTGATACTGAGCTGAATGAGTTGAAGGTATTTCCCTCATGATTGTTCATGGCATTCTCTTTAAAGGATGCATTAATAAATAATATTTATTTGTGCCTACCACCCAGGCATCTAACAAGACGTAAAGCTTTATTATCAATAAAAGACCCTACACTCCTCCATTAGTGAATGAGGATTTGAGGTTTATTATTTAGTAAGACCGGATTCAATTAGAAGAGCTACCAAGACTAAACTTGATATCGAAAACCCCGACAAATGAAAATAAAGTAACACGTCTGTGGCATCCTTTGCTGACAGTAAAAGCTGAGTAAATCATATTGTGTTCATTTCGTAAATCCCGCTTTTCGATACTGATTCAAGTATCCAATTAACAAGCTAATAAAATTCCATGAGAATTCACACATACAATCAAGAGAAGCTACTAACCCAAGTCTATGGAAGGAATATTTTGCGGCCAGAGATACAAGCTAAGCCAGGGGCCTTTAAGTATAAGTTTACGAAATCAGTTTGACACCAAATATTAATAAACGAATGTGAGGGTACCAAATACGAACATCATATATAAATATAGTAAAACAATGATTGTAGCAGAAATATGTTTTTGAATGAGTATTATCAGGGCTTTTTGAAGATCCTTCAGTGAAAGTTAAGAAAAGCTTGTTAAATTCATAGCTCCATGCTGAATACGGGGTAAAACTCGAACCCGTCCTGTGACTGGATGATGTGGTGTTGCAGTTGTATAAAGATCAGAAATTATATAAAGCTAGATGGTAGTGTGTGTGTTCATGAAAGTGTCAAAAACAGAAAGCATGATGAAAAAGATTGAGCTGAAGCAAGATATACAAAGTAGCCTGCTGGAGTTGTGATATCAACGGGGCAATGCGAATGAATAGGACGCAGCGAAGGCTAAACGAGAATAGGCGGTGTTGATTTGACCTAGGCCTGCGGCAGGATTACATTGCTTCTGTAGAGCAACGGTTGTCCAATAGATGCAGACAATTAAACGTACAGTGGTCTTCCTTAAACGGAAGGCAAACCGAATTGTACCTTTGCTGATGCAAAAAGAGGGAAGAAGTGGCGTACGGGATTGCGGCGCACTTATGGCGAAGCACGACAAGGTCCATGCGTTTGGTATCCAGAAGAAAAGTTGCTATGTTGACGATAAGGCGGTGTCAGTGAAAGGCTCCAGGCTGTTGGAGACGAGCAGAGATATTTTCTAGAAGTTAATGCTGAGGCTGGCCACTGATACGAGAAAGTACCGAA